GAATTTACTGGAACGATGACGACACTAAACAGACTGTTGCAGGGCCATGGGGGGCTACGGAGACCCCGAACCTGCAAACCACAGAATTACGAAGGCGGAGTATAAACAGCTCACGTCAACAAAGGCTTTCTAATTTAATACCTGATCCTCTGATAGCAAGAGGAATGCATTATTTACTGGATTGACGTCAGCTTCCCTCTACGCATTCTTGTCTCTGCAGGCGACGGTCAGATCGGATTTGATGAATTTGTTGAGGCCTTCTCCTCTGAACAACTTACTGCCCCTCCGGATGAATCCACCCTTCAGCAAACATTTGATGTTTTTGACAGGGTTAGTGTTTGTTGTTTTATTAGTTAAACATTGAAATGCAACAAGAAAGCTTTGTATAATTCTTATATTTACATGAGCGATTAAGAAATATATAACATTTAGGCATTTAGGTGAGGCAATGAATAATAGACAGATGTGTTTTTCCAATATAAGGTACATTAATCGAACAAGTAAATAATTTAAAAGAAGCAGATGTGATCGCTGTAAAATTTTGAAGCAAATACGGATTTCGCAACCAAGTAAAGTTCTGCATGCCCTCGGTGCACTATATTTGACTTTAAAGGCGTGTTGAAAATTAATGGGGCAAGCAAAGACTGTTGGTGTAGTCATTTTTAGACTATAGTTTTTGTAGATGGCCGAGGGGCACCCTGATTTGAGGTAAATAGGTGAGGTTCATGTTGCATGATAAGCAATATTACAACCCCGCATAAGTAATCCGTCGTAATTGTAAATTCGTTACAGCATTTTGGTTCATATTTTATAACAATGAAGACTTTTCAAATGGGGGAATAACTATGCAGTCGTGGTCCTCAATCATGTGCCTGTTTTTTTATTTGTTTGTTTACCCTTCCCATGAATAGTCTGACGCACCTGTTATTCACGCCTTTTTGTTATGCTGTAACAGGTCGCAGATAGCGAACACTCATGAACACTGGACCATATATATTTGTGTAA